TCATCGACGGCGCGTAGTTTGTGTAACTACCACCGTTGCTAATTTCTGCGACGAACTCCAGCCCCTTCCCAGGGGCCTGTCGCACCCAGAACATGGTGACGCTGCTGAAGGTGAAGCCGGAGCCCTTGCAGCGGAGGGTGAGGGACCCCCCGGGTGTCACGGTGCCCCCCCCGGACTCCGTCAGCTCCACGGCCGCCCGCAGCCCTGGGGAGGGAGAGAGGAAGGAGACAATTGAGTCACCCCCAAGGTCCCGGGGGTTGTAGCACGTCTGAACCCTGTCCCCAAGCACAAAACCCTTTATCGACCCCAAATCCTTGCCTTTTGGCCCAAATTTCTCCCTTGCACCTCCTCTGCCAGGGCTCTGGTGTCACCCCCAGGAGCCCCAGCATCAAGTCGGGGCAACAGAAACCCGGGATCTTCCCAAAATCCTCCCTCCAAGTCTCCGCACCCCCTTCCTGAGCCACGACCTCCCTGTCCCGCGTCCCAAAATCCCAACATCTCCCTCAAAAATCCTGCCCGGAGCATCGAAATCCCAGCGTCGTCCCCAAAAAATCTTCATTCTGAGCATCAGTGTTGACATCCTGCCTCCCAAAATCCCAGCATATTCAACCAGAATCACACCATCTTGCCCCAAATCTTCGCCCCAGGCACCACCATCCCAGAATGATCCCCAAATCCCACCATCTTTGACAAAACTCCCTGTTTTCACAAAATCCTTACCCCAAGCATCAGCATCCCTGCCCCCTCAAACCCAAGATTTTTATGAAAAATCCCATTATTTTCCCTAAATCTTTGCCCCGAGCATCAGCATCACTATTTTGCTCCCCAAAATCCCAAGTTTTTTTCACCAAAATCCCAGCATCTTCCCCAAAACCCACTATTTTCACGAAATCCTTAACCCGAGCATCAGCATCCCCACCTCCTAAAATCCCAGGATTTTCCCCCAAAATCTCATTATTTTCCCTAAATCTTTGTCCCAAGCATCAGCATCAATATTCTGCCCCCCCAAAATCCCAGTTATTTTCACCAAAATCCCCGCATCTTCTCCAAAAACCACTATTTTCACAAAATCCTTAACTCGAGCATCAGCATCCCCACCCCCTAAAATCCCAGGATTTTCCCCCAAAATCTCATTATTTTCCCTAAATCTTTGTCCCAAGCATCAGCATCAATATTCTGCCCCCCCAAAATCCCAGTTATTTTCACCAAAATCCCCGCATCTTCTCCAAAAACCACTATTTTCACAAAATCCTTAACTCGAGCATCAGCATCCCCACCCCCTAAAATCCCAGGATTTTTCCCCAAAATCTCATTATTCTCCCTAAATCTTTGTCCCAAGCATCAGCATCAATATTCTGCCCCCCCAAAATCCCAGGTTTTTCACCAAAATCCCAGCATTTCCCCAAAACCCAGTATTTTCATAAAATCCTTACCCTGGGTATCGGCATCACCCCACCCCAAAATCCCAGGATTTCCCCCCAAAATCCCTTTTTTTTCCCCAAATCCTTGCCCTGAGCATCACAATCACTGCATTGCACCCCCCAAATCCCCATTTTTTTCACAAAATCCCAGCATCTTCTCCAAAAACCACTAATTTCACAAAATCCTTAACCCAAGCATCAGTATCCCTCCCCCAAAACCCCACGCTTTTTCCCAAAACCCCATTATTTTTCCCCAAATCCTCCAGACCGAAGGGCAGATGGGGGGGGGAGGGGGAGAACAGGGAACAACCGAAACGCTCATTTCCGCCCTTTTTACCCCAAAACAATAGCGATGACGTCAGCGCTGAGGCAGCTGCAGGGACCGCAAGTAAATCCCCGAGATAAAGAGATGATCAAGGGAGAGCAATTAAATAATTAAGCCCCAAGGAGCTGGCAATTAAGTAATTAAAGCCCGAAGAATTAACGAGGGCCCGGGAAGAGCCTGTAATTAATTAATTTGCTTTGAAAAAAACACAGATATAAGGGGGTTCTGCAGTGATTGCAACTCAATTAATTAGGGTATATAATTAATCAGGGCTCTGCAGAAGTTTTAATTAAAGAAAACAGGGCAAAGAAATGATCAGGGCTGTGCAGTGATTGCAATTAAGTTAATTAGAGTAAATAAATCATCAGGGCTCTGCAGAGATTGGGATTAAATTAATCAGGATTTGTAATTAATCAGGGCTCTGCAGAGATTGCAATTAAAGAAATCAGGGTCAATTAGTGATCAGGGCTCTGCAGAGATTGCAATTAAAGAAATCAGGGTCAATTAGTGATCAGGGCTCTGCAGAGATTGCAATTAAAGAAATCAGGGTCAATTAGTGATCAGGGCACTGTAGAGATCGCAATTAATTAATTACAGTGTAAATAAATGATCAGGGCTCTGGAGAGATTGGAATTTAATTAATCAATCAGGGTTTATAATTAATCAGGGCTCTGCAGAAATTGCAATTAAAGAAATCAGGGTCAATTAGTGATCAAGGCACTGCAGAGATTGCTATAAAATTAATGAGGAGAAATAATTGATCGGGGCGCTGCTGAGATTTAATTGCAATTAAACAGGGTAAATAAATGATAAGGGTACTCCAGAGATTGCAATTAAATTAATCAGGGCTCTGCAGAGATTTTAATTTAAAAAATCAAATAAATGTTCTGGGTTCTGCAGTACTTGCAATTAAGTTAATTAGAGAAAATAAACCATCAGGGCTCTGCAGAGATTGCAATTAAGTTAATTACAGTGTAAATAACTGATCAGGGCTCTGCAGAGATTGCAATTAAATTAATTAGAGTATATAATTAGTCAGGGCTTTGCAGGGATCTTAATTAAAGAAATCAGGGCAAATAAATGATCAGGGCTCTGCTGGGATTTAATTGCAATTAATCAGGGTAAATAAATGATAAGGGTACTCCAGAGATTGCAAGGCACTGCAGAGATTGCTATAAAATTAATGAGGAGAAATAATTGATCGGGGCGCTGCTGAGATTTAATTGCAATTAAACAGGGTAAATAAATGATAAGGGTACTCCAGAGATTGCAATTAAATTAATCAGGGCTCTGCAGAGATTTTAATTAAAAAAATCAAATAAATGTTCTGGGTTCTGCAGTACTTGCAATTAAGTTAATTAGAGAAAATAAACCATCAGGGCTCTGCAGAGATTTTAATTAAAAAAATCAAATAAATGTTCTGGGTTCTGCAGTACTTGCAATTAAGTTAATTAGAGAAAATAAACCATCAGGGCTCTGCAGAGATTGCAATTAATTAATTACAGTGTAAATAAATTATCAGGGCACTAGAGAGATTGCAATTAAATTAATTAGAGTATATAACTAGTCAGGGATCTTAATTAAAGAAATCAGGGCAAATAAATGATCAGGGCTCTGCAATGATTGCAATTAAATTACTTAGGGGAAATAAATGATCAGGGCTCTGGAGAGATTGGAATTTAATTAATCAGAGTTTGTAATTAATCAGGGCTCTGCAGAGATTGCAATTAAAGAAATCAGGGCAAATAAATGATCAGGGCTCTGCAATGATTGCAATTAAATTAATTAGGGGAAATAAATGTTCAGGACTCTGGAGAGATTGGAATTTAATTAATCAGAGTTTGTAATTAATCAGGGCTCTGCAGAGATTGCAATTAAAGAAATCAGGGTCAATTAGTGATCAGGGTCCTACAGAGCTTGCAATTAAGTTAATCAGGGCATATAATTAATCAGGGGTCTGCAAAGATTTTAATTAAAGAAATCAGTGTAAAAAAATCTATATGAGTTCTACAGGGATTGGAATTAAATTAATCAGGGTATATAATTAATCAGGGCTTGGCAGAGATTTTAATTAAAGAAATCAGTGCAATTAAATGATAAGGGCTCTGCAGAGGTTGCAATTAAATTAATCAAGGTAAATCAGTGATCAGGGCACTGCAGAGATTGCAATTAATTAATTCAGTGTAAAAAAATAATCAGGGCACTGTAGAGATTGTAATTAAATTAATTAGGTTAAATAAGTCATCAGAGTGCTACAGGGATTTAATGGCAATTAATCAGGCTAAATAAATGATAAAGGTTCTCCAGAGATTGGGTTTAAATTAATCAGGGTTTATAATTAATCAGGGCTCTGCAGAGATTTTAATTAAAGAAATCAGTGCAAATAAATGATTAGGACACTGCAGAGATTGCAATTAATTAATTCAGTGTAAATAAATTATCAGGGCACTGCAGGGATTGCAATTAAATTGATTAGAGTTTATAATTAATCAGGGCTCTGCAGAGATCTTAATTAAAGAAATCAGGGCATATAAATGATCAGGGCTCTGCAGAGATTGCAATTAATTAATTCAGTGTAACGAAGATATAAGGGCTCACGGGAGTGATTGCAATTAAATTAATCAGTTTAAAGATGATAAAAACTGCAATTAATTAATTCAAAGCACAGAATTGATGAGGGCAGAGATTACAATTAAATAATTCGGTGAAGATAAGTGATCAGGGCCCTGAACTGACTGTAATTAATTAATTAAGATCAGGGCCCCGCAGCCACTGCAATTAAATAATTCCGAGACATAATCAGGGCACTGTAGAGGTTGTAATTAAATTTATTAGGTTAAATGAATCATCAGAGTACTACGGGGATATAATGACAATTAATCAGGCTAAATAAATGATAAGGGTTCTCCAGAGATTGGGATTAAATTAATCAGGGTTTATAATTAATCAGGGCTCTGCAGAGATTTTAATTAAAGAAATCAGTGCAAATAAATGATCAGGATACTGCAGAGATTGCACTTAATTAATTCAGTGTAAATAAATTATCAGGGCACTAGAGAGATTGCAATTAAATTAATTAGAGTATATAACCAGTCAGGGCTCTGCAGGGATCTTAATTAAAGAAATCAGGGCAAATAAATGATCAGGGCTCTGCAATGATTGCAATTAAATTAATTAGGGGAAATAAATGTTCAGGACTCTGGAGAGATTGGAATTTAATTAATCAGAGTTTGTAATTAATCAGGGCTCTGCAGAGATTGCAATTAAAGAAATCAGGGTCAATTAGTGATCAGGGTCCTACAGAGCTTGCAATTAAGTTAATCAGGGCATATAATTAATCAGGGGTCTGCAAAGATTTTAATTAAAGAAATCAGTGTAAAAAAATCTATATGAGTTCTACAGGGATTGGAATTAAATTAATCAGGGTATATAATTAATCAGGGCTTGGCAGAGATTTTAATTAAAGAAATCAGTGCAATTAAATGATAAGGGCTCTGCAGAGGTTGCAATTAAATTAATCAAGGTAAATCAGTGATCAGGGCACTGCAGAGATTGCAATTAATTAATTCAGTGTAAAAAAATAATCAGGGCACTGTAGAGATTGTAATTAAATTAATTAGGTTAAATAAGTCATCAGAGTGCTACAGGGATTTAATGGCAATTAATCAGGCTAAATAAATGATAAAGGTTCTCCAGAGATTGGGTTTAAATTAATCAGGGTTTATAATTAATCAGGGCTCTGCAGAGATTTTAATTAAAGAAATCAGTGCAAATAAATGATTAGGACACTGCAGAGATTGCAATTAATTAATTCAGTGTAAATAAATTATCAGGGCACTGCAGGGATTGCAATTAAATTGATTAGAGTTTATAATTAATCAGGGCTCTGCAGAGATCTTAATTAAAGAAATCAGGGCATATAAATGATCAGGGCTCTGCAATTAAATCCTTGCAGTGCCCTGATGACTTATTTGCCCTAATTAATTTCATTGCAATCTCTGCAGAGCCCTGATCATTTATATGCCCTGATTTCTTTAATTATAATCAGGGCAAATAAATGATCAGGGCTCTGCAGAGATTGCAATTAATTAATTCAGTGTAACGAAGATATAAGGGCTCACTGGAGTGATTGCAATTAAATTAATCAGTATAAAGATGATAAAAACTGCAATTAATTAATTCAAAGCACAGAATTGATGAGGGCAGAGATTACAATTAAATAATTCGGTGAAGATAAGTGATCAGGGCCCTGAACTGACTGTAATTAATTAATTAAGATCAGGGCCCCGCAGCCACTGCAATTAAATAATTCTGAGACCTTGTAATTAAACAACCCCGTGTTCATGTTTGATTAATTCCCCGGAGATGCTGCAATTAAAAAAATAATAAAAAATCAGGGCACATCAGCCATAAAGTCCCTCGAGACCCTTTAACTAATTAATTCTCTGCGCAGCTGCAATTAATTCCCTGGAGGTACTGCAATTAAATAACTCATCGTGCACCTGTGATTAATTCCCTAGAGAAAGGGGAATTAATTAATTTGGCGCACACCTGCGATTGATTCCCTAGAGAAAGGGCAATTAATTAATTGGGCATACACCCGCTATCAGCTCCCTGCAGTAAAGGTAATTAAATTAATTAATTTGACATACACATGCATTTAATTCACTGGGGAAAGGGTAATTGATGAATTGGGTGTCCA